TTGGATGAGTGAGAAAAATAGGCATTGATCAAATATTTTTAAAGTAGTTATGTCCCTTAGAAAAGTAAATTCTATGGAAAATTACATTGTAATCGTTCTCAAGCTTACATCTCTTGTCAGATTTTTATATATTTATATCAAAGATTTACATCATCAATGTCTTGGACAAATTTGAAAATTATCTTTACAGTAAATATTGCACTGTAAGCAATCTCTAGCCTACATATTTTGTTAGATATTTATGAAGAAGTTTAAAAGAACCCTAATTTTGTTGTATTGCATTCATCTCTATTTTCCATTCATCCATTTGTCCAACATATATTTCTGTCACATTTTTATATGACCGAAAAATTTTTGCGGTCGTATAATGTTATGACATTGTCAGCATCGTTGTCCTAGCTCTGAAGACATTTGGTTTCCAGACAATAACTTGAGTATAAGTGTATGGATCTCTTTGAAATTGTACCACAAGGTTCCATACCACAAAAGGAAGCTTTGAATTGATTTTGGGGGTTCTTTTCCTAACGGTTTAGGTATTAGGGGCCAAAAAACTAGGATTTTCATGTTTTCAGCAATAACCTCACAAAAATTGAATTCAAGGATTTTTATGCCCCACCTACGATAGTAGAGGGCATTATGTTTTTCTGTCTGTACGTCCATTCGTCCATCTGTCCCGCTTCAGGTTAAAGATTTTGGTCAAGGTAGTTTTTGATGAAGTTGAAGTCCAATCAACTTGAAACTTAGTACACATGTTTCCTATTATATGATCTTTCTAATTTTAATACCAAATTAGAGTTTTGACCCCAATTTCACAGTCCACTGAACATAGAAAATGATAGTGCTAGTGGGGCATCCCCGTACTATGGACACATTCTTGTTTGATATGCTGAATCTAAACATGTATTTAGATTTTTGATTTTGGGCCCAGTTTTCAAGTTGGTCAAAATCGGGGTACAAAATCATACCTGTCAACTGACCCGGATCCTGCTGGTGTGACCCGAGATTTTCACAATTCTGAGGGGTCACCCGGAACACCCGCCGGGTTACCAAATAACCCGTTTTCACCTGGATTCCTAAGCCTTCAGACTGATTAGATATAAACTGATTTCTTTAAAATACTGGCAAATTCGTAATTCTTCCTGGACAAGAAGTTCAACTAGCTTGTGTAAACTCAACTCAAGTGACCCATTTCAGTGCATGGCTTCACTTGACAGCTTTGGTGTCAAACACACTGTTAATTAACACCAATTACCTTAGCTTTAGGTCGTAAATAATTTGTGTATTTCAAAGTTGTTTTAAAAACAATTTGAGTTACTTCTCCCCTTTTTTTTTTAATTCACAATATACTCCTTAAACTTATGTTGTTTTTTTTTGTAAAAAGATTAAATCTAAAATGAATTGAATGCAAAAACATATCAGAATAATACTTTTATTTATTGTTCTACCTTGGAACAATTAAAAAATAAAAAATTTTAAAATTGCTTTTTTCATCTATACCTTCTTTAATTGTTTAACCTTATTTTATTATACTCTAATTTCCATCTCTGATATGTTCCACATCACAATCCATCTCATTCAGTCACGTCTCAGTCATTACAACTGAACGGACGTGCTGGGTCAGCTCTCCTTTACCAGCTATCTTCGATGAGGGTTTACTGTTAGATGGATCAACGACTTACTACTTTCGATGACAGAAACCAATCCAACGCTGTACAGACTATGTATGGCTAATACCCGTGTCAACATACACTCCAAAACCCATTATGGATGGGGGAGTGGTATGCTGAGTGACGTCCGAGGGCTGTATCCTAGGTGTTAGATGATGGACCGCCATTTCACTGTCTCACGACTTTGGTCCTGATAATGCTTCCTGTCATCGTTATTACTATGTCCGAGACTCATCGACCAGTACTCCATCATCGTGGTTAGCGGGCTGCCAAGCTGACCAACCTGGCTCTGAAAGCAGCCGTTGTGAAGTAAACAACAAAATAGTCAACAAACAAAACCAAAACAACTCACCAAATCCAAGATGGCCGCTTACCAAAATGGCGAATTCCAACTGTTCCTGTCCGACTGCAAAAATATTTAAACGCTCACCAAAACGCCTTCGGGCACCGTGCCAGTCAAGGTCGTTAAACACTTCCAGTAGTTAGATATGTTCCACTGTTTAAAAGCTGCACAAATGTATGCAAAGAAAACACAAATTGGCCCATTGTATGTCAGGGACTGAATATGAACAGGAATAAAGGCAATGTAACACAAATCTATCAATGGCCTCCAAGTGCAATGAAATAATAGAATGTACAATTTTAAATTACTTAACCATGTGGACATGTTTTGGAAACTTTGATATAAATTATAAGAAAAATGTCCCCTAAATACTAAAATTCAGCTCGAAAAAGTTTGTACACGTTACGACCTGAGATTTCATTCTTCTATGCAGGTCATCACCTGCATTTTCATTGTCATAGGTTGACAGGTATGCAAAATTAAACTTTGTTTGATTTCAACCAAAATTGAATTTATGTGGTTCTTTGATATGCTGAATCTAATTGTGTATTAAGATTTTGTATTTTGGACCCCTTTATCAAATTGGTTCATATTGAGGTCCAAAGTTGGATATTGGACCATGATGGGTAAATGTCCAATTTTAAATTTTTAAGTTCTTTAGACAACATTCATTCTGTGTCAGAAACCTATGCTATGTCAAATATTTAATCACAATCCAAATTCAGAGTTTGTATTGCACAATTAATAGAAATTGTTAGTAGATTCATAGTTAAAAATAGATATAGCATCAAATTCTAATTTTAGAAATCATGTATAAATATAGTTTGAAATTTACTGTTCCTTATTAGATATTTCAAAAAATAATTATAGTTTAATAGATTTTTAGAAAACATTGTAGTAATAATGAATGATATTTTGTAAATTGTTTTTTTTTTTCATTTTTTTTGTAAATTTTTTGAAGAATTTATATATATATATTTTTTTTTTTTTTGATGAAGCAAACCCCTTTTAAAACTTAGATAATATTGTCCATTAATAGATAAATTCTTTGTGTACTTGGATATGCTGAATCTAACCGCGTATTTAGATTTTGGATATTGGACCATAATAGGTAAAAGTCCAATATCAAATTTTTCAGTTCTTTGACCACATTTATTCTGTGTCAGAAACCTATGCTGTGTCAAATATTTAATCACAATCCAATTGCGGAGCATTTTATTCAGGTCTGATGGACACATTCTACCTGATTTCCAATGCCTTGAATGCATTTAAAAATTTTGTCACATTTCTCCAGTACTACCGAACAAATGATCTTGTAGCTTGGCTGTGACTAGTTTTAAGGTGAGAGTGCTTTTCGAATCTGTCAGTCGCCTACTTCCTTTTTTCCAATACTTTGGTTAACCATTAGGGGGATGCATAGCACGACAGTACCTGAAATTTTGTTGGTAGTGTTCTTTGACATAAAATATGTGCATTGGTGTGGATAATTGATGAATGTTTGATTGATTGGAGTTTAACACCACTTTCAGCACTATTGTGCTGTTTCGGGGCAGTCAGTTTTTAATGGTGGAGGAAGCTGGATTGCCCGAGGTAAACCACCGACCTTCGGTAGGAAAACTGACAATCCTAGTCAATAAAGATTGGAGTCTAGTGCACCTTCCATGTGCGGATTCTAACTCACAATCTCAGTGTTGACAGGCTAGTGATTCAGTAGTTCGACTACTTAGACCACTCTGCCACCGAGGCCCCGTGGATAATGGAACACTGTTATTTAATTCAAAATGGCCACCACATCCTATAAAATGGTGTCAGTTTGTTCATATGAAATAAAGGCGGGAAATACCAAAGGGACAATCAAAATTTATATTTGAAGAGAAACTGACAAAATCATGACAAAATACAAAATCAGATGAAAAGACAAACAACAGTCTACACTCTACAGGGCTAAATTCAGTAAATACTCTCCCAGTGACTTTAATGCAAATCTATTTCTTGAATCGTTTGTACCTGGTTTACCTTTAGAAATCAGAAGCTTTCATATATCATTCATTAAAGTACAAAGGTAGCCCCATCTTTTACAACAATAAAAACATAGGGTCATGCGGCATTTTTGGGCCATTCACATGGCCTTGTTTACAAACACTGTAAGATAGGCACTAAATTCTTATTCTGACCCCCATTACTTTTCAACCCTGTAGTTGTAAAAAATTTAATGCATTACGCATTCATTTATTTTTTTTTTTTAACCCTAGTCTTGATCCATCTATCAAAAAATATTTATTACAAACATTATCTACCAATCGGAAGAGCACAGGACTTCAGTGTTATACAGAAAGCATACGATCAGATTATTCAAGTGTTAAAATACTTGAAAAGTGCTTATTTACAACTTGATCTGCAACTTAACATGGGGAACACTGCTTAAAAAAATACACTATGTCAAAGGGAGGTAATTCTGATTTTGCATATGATTTTACACATTATTAGAAGAAATATGTGCAAAATTTGATGTAAAATGGGGAGAATATTTATGTCTTTCATTAATTCTATAACTCTAAAGTGTAATTTCTATTGTTTCTTTTAATCTGGACACAAAACTGATTTTTCTCATATACCCCATGCTTCCTCCCACAGTATACTCAGTGCATCATTGCCAGCCGCAGTTAAACAAAGAATTTTGTATGAAAAACAACTTTAACTGTTTCCAAAAAGCTTCCATTGCATTGATATTTACAGGAAATTAGCTTTGTGATTATTGTGTGGCCTTAAAAAAATACAGTGACAGAGTGCTTATTTTCCTATAAAACACTACATAGAAAACTAGAGATATTACTAACATTTTTAATATACAGATTGGAAGTTTCAACTGCTTTAGTGATTAATGTATTGTCTTAATGAGTAATATAATCTGAGATTTTTATATTTTGACAATTTGATAAAAACGTCGTAAAAATGGATTATTGACTGCTATTTTATTACTTTATTTTCAGATTGATAAGCAAGTATTAGAGTTTACCAAAGTTGCATTGCAAGCAGTTTTTGAATTGTTTCTCATGGCTAAACAGGTATAATTTTTTTATCTTGATATTGAAGATTATTGTCTATTATCCTGAAACCCAAAAGATATGGGGAAAAAACTGTCACGGCAACAATGCTCATAATAGGAAGATCTACCTACTTCCCTTTCCACCAAAATTATCAGAAACATCCTTATAATAGGTATTGCCCTGAAATGACGATTTTTTTTTTTACTAATTTTCATGTTTTTGTCAATAATCTTGAAAAATACAATAAAATTGACAACTCTTCAATCATAAAATGTTTGTAATAATTTGAGTATATTTCAGCAATTATTGACTGAGTTGACATTCTTCACTATGTTGATAAATGTAACAGACAAATAACTCAAATTCAGAAGCACAAATACAGAAACACTAACAGACAAAATGATGAACAAAGGAAGATCTACAAAAGTTCTATTTAACCAGATTGTCAAGGGAAAATATCAGTTATTAATTTGGTGATGTACGGGTGGCGGGCAAGCGGCTGCCAAACAGTAAAGCAACTATTGACTGAGTTGACATTCTTCAATATATTGATAAATGTAACAGACAAATAACTCAAATTCAGAAGCACAAATACAGAAACACTAACAGCCAAAATGATGAACAAAGGAAGATCTACAAAACTTCTTTTTAACCGGATTGTCAAGGGAAAATATCAGTTATTAATTTGGTGATGTACGGGTGGCAGGCAAAGCGGCTGCCAAACAGTATCTGTGCAATAACTTGAAAACGCTTTGACGAAATCTTTTCAATTTACATATGTTGTTTCCTGTGACTAAATGAAGGTCAAGCCTTGTCCATGCAATAACTTGAAAATGCTTTGACAATATCTTTTCAAATTTAGATATGTTGTTTCCTGTGACTGAATGAAGGTCAACTTTGATTTTCACGATTTTAGCTTTTATCGTTGTTGAGTTGTAGACTTTTAAGTAGCAAAAAGTGATACTTAGATTGATTTTGGCCTTTCCATTTCTGAACCCTACAATAACTCATTTATTTTTTTTACTTGATCCTGTTTGGGAGTCCAGATTTGTAAATATCATTTTCATGCAGGAAAATCCGGTTTGCTGTCAATCTGACAACATCTTGTTATGATTGAAACCAACAACTGCCTCTTTAAACAATGTTTTATCCTTTAATGCTAATTTTTGTGTAGTTGTTCATTACCTACCGAATTAGACTATTTACCGGGTTTGTACTAACATGAGCAACACGACAAGTGCCACATGTGGAGCAGGATCTGCTTACCCTTCTGGAGCACCTGAGATCACCCCCAGTTTTTGTAGGGGTTCGTGTTGCTTAGTCTTTAATTTTCTATGTTGTGTTTTGTGTACTATTGTTTGTCTGTTTGTCTTTTTCTTTTTTAGCCATGGCGTTGTCAGTTTATTTTCTATTTATGAGTTTGAATGTCCTTCTGGTATCTTTCGCCTCTCTTTTATCCTGAAAAAGTACACTAGATGAGCAGAAACTGAAAGTGGCAAAAATGATAAGAAATACAAAATGTACAAAAAAAGCAAATGGAACACAATTATCATAACTCCTCTCAGGAGTAATAACCCTTAAATGATGATTTTCATCAACTTTTGGTGTTTTTAGTCCCCTACCGACAAAGTCGAAGGGGACTTTAGGTTTGCACTCCGTCCGTCTGTCTGTCCACCCGTCTGTCCATCCATCAGTCCGGCAAATCAGCTTTCCACACTTTTTTTCTTCGTTCTTGAAGATATTGATTTGATATTTGGTATATAGTTTTATCATGACAAGTTATAGATCAAGTTCGAATTTTGTTCTGGTCTGATGATTTAGTCCAGAGTTATCATGGTCAATATCTAATGTTAGAGTACTACATTTTGTATGTTAAACCATATTTCTGTACAAAGAGAGATAACTCATTTTTTTAAAGACATTCTTTGGTTAATTGTTTGAAGTGTTTTTTATTTTGTATAAACTAATTTTCTGAATGCTATATACATAAAAAAAAAATTATGAAGTGAAATCTTTTAATTAGATAATAATCTATTTTTATTAAGGTATATATTTCGTTACATTACATTGTGTATAGATAAAAGTTGTTGACATTTTATAGATAAGTTACAAATCTATATTAGTTTGTGACAAATGAAAGAAAAAATATTTGGAACTATTAATTGTATTTGATTTTAACTTGAAAATAAATATACATTGTATTACATCATATCTAATTTTAGAGAACTATTAATCACATCTAATGTAAGAGTGTTTTCCTTACTTTTTTTCATCATGCTTGAAGATATTGATTGATAATTGTTATATAGTTTTATCATGACAAGTAACAGATCAAGTTCAAATTTTTGTTTCGGTCTGATAATTTTGTGCAGAGTTATGGTCTTTGGACTTGAAAAATTCACTCATATAATCAGTTTTCCACACTGTTTTTAGTCATGCTTGAAGATATTGACTTGATATTTTCTTTTTGTTTACATCATAACAAGTTATAGAACAAGTTAGCATTTTGTTCCAGTATAATGAATTTTTACCAGGTAGGGGACTATGTATTGCCATGCAATACTCTCAAAATGCTTGTTTATTTTAGCTCATCTGGTGTAAAGGGCCAAGGGAGTTATTGCCATCACTTGGCATCTGTTGTCGTTGTCAGTCGTTGTTGTAAACTTTTTTAAAGATCTCCTCAGAAACTTCTGAACCAATTTCAGCCAAACTTCTTGTAAGTGATCCACAGGGTATCTTGTATGAAGTCTGTGTTTTTCAAAGTCGGTCAACAAACATGGCTGTCATGGCTAAAAATAGAACATAAGAATAAAATTCATAAATTATCTTATATCTTGAAAACGTTAATAGATAAATACAAAAATGATCGGTATAAAAGATCAGTAAGAATACTAGTATGATAGAAACCCTTTATAGGTTGCACTTTGTAAATACAGCTGTTTCACAAACCAGGCCTCTTTTGGGGAGATATATATTTTGTTTCGTTTACCTACTGGTTCCCAGATATGATCTCTATGTTTTATCTCGTAGAGACATAACTTTGGAATGTTACCAGTATAAATACACATGGATAGCGTCCAAATTGAATTATGAGGAAGACCCAAAGTGAAGGGAGGGGTAGTACAGAGTTTTAGTATAAGTTAAACCTCTTAGAAGTTCGGGGCATATAAATGTTGAAAATATGCCGCACAGCCCTATGTTTTGACCTTTGAAAAAAAAGGCAGTGCATATGAACTTTCCATTCTAGGATATATTTTTTTTACGAAACTTCATAGTAAAAGTAGCACAGTTTTAGCCGTAAAAGGAGTTCCTATGGGGAATTGCATTGTCTATATTTACAGAAGTGCAGCCTATATTTGAAATAAGTAGATCAAATTGCTGTATTTTTGCTAGGTGAGCAATTGAGTTTCTTAGGAACTTTTTCAGACAGTTACAATTTGATAGAATCTTCTCCTAGTTTTCAAGGCAGATCCTTAAAACTTCACAGAAAATTAGCACACCTATTGCCATTGTGCATCTCCAAATAAAAAGTTGTGAAAAGATTTCCTCCCATCTTTGGCCGTGTATTTGTGCTGCTTTTTTAGTTCACTTTGTTTGTTGCAATTATCAATACATTGTAGAAGGTTTAATTATGTCAATCATTGCTAAAATTTGTTCAAATTATGACAAACAGCTTTTGATTGTGAGTTATTAATTTAAAATAATTTAGTTTTTAATCATTTTTACCTGCAGTCACTGTAAATTCAGAAATTATTGCGAGGTTTTAATTAATGCAAATAATGCGACTGGGTGATAATCGCAATAATAAGAACTCGCATTCTGATATCTGATACATATAAGTGTATACAGATTTTCCTGAAATCGCAATAATAAATCTCGCATTTTTGTTCATTCTTCAAAAATCGCAATAATAAATGTATGTAATAATTTCTGACTTTACAGTACTCCACTAAAGATATTTTATCTTTCAGGCAAACTGGGGATTTAATGAAGGGAATTTCTTCAACATTAGTTGGATGGTAAAAACATTAGAAGAAATGAGAACTGTGGTAAGTTGAACTTCTGCTTTTGTTGCCAAAAAAATAAAAGTAGGCATGCGTTTGAAGTGTCAATGTAAGTGACACATGGTGATCATATACAGTAGTATATACTCCTGAACAATAAATGGAATATTTTCCAACAATGCTAGTACTGTCTGTAACAATATTTTAGATTTCAAGAAACGTAATCTATGTATAACTGATAAGATATCGAGTCCGGATTTCGTTACCACAAAATTACTTTTAAAAACCTTTACTAAATTCTTTCATATGCTATACATACAAATTTCCATTTTGGAAGTTTGGCTGTAGCTGTAGAAACTTTACTTACCCATCCTTACTCTTTCAGTTATGTTGTTTAAAGAGCCCTGAAATGTGTATACGATTCATGTAAACTTATTGATCCTGATCCTTTATTCTTAAAGGTTATGAATTTAATACTGAAGTTAGATCTTTCAGTATTGTCAATATGTTCAATATTGATTGTGATTTTAATTAAAACAACTAAATATGTCTTTCTGTTCAGTTATTAACACTTCTGGTCCTACATCCTACGATATTTATATTTTTGCATTGCACAAGGTTATGCTTTTCTCAAACTGTTTATGCCATGTATACACTAAATGTGTGCTGATTGTTATATATGTCTGGGGAAAAAAGATTGATTTATTAGTTGTAATTAAATGCTTTTGGTTTGCTAGTACTCTTAGATCTGTATATTGTATCTATTGTTATTTTGTTAGGTGTTTTTGTGCTTTGTTCCGATATGATGAGTCTAGCTCTTTTCGACTTAATTTTACAGTTTTTAACTCAACTGACCAAAAGGCCAAGTGATCTTTTCTCATCACTTGGCGTCTGTCATCCATCATTGTCGTCGTCCGTTGTCGTTGTTAACTTTTACAAAAATCTTCTCCTCTGAAACTACTGGGCCAAATTTAACCATACTTGGCCACAATCATAATTGGGGTATCTAGTTTAAAAATATGTCTGATGACCCCGCCTGCCAACCAACATGGCCAACATGGCTAAAAATAGAACATAGGGGTAAAATGCAAGTTTTGTCTATTATCATGAAAACCACTATGAATAGAGAAAATCTGATAGAGGCAGAAATGTTCAGAATGTTGAAATCTACCTGCTGTCCATTTACTTCAAAACTGTCAGACGACTTCTTATAGGAGGTAAAATGCCCCTAAATGTCAAATTTTACCATTTTTTTTTCATTTTTGTACGACCGCAAAAAAAATTTTGTGGTCGTATATTGGTATGACGTTGGCGTCGTCGTCGTCGTCGTCTGGCGTCGTCGGGCGTCGTCCGAAGACACATTGGTTTTCGCACTCTAACTTTAGTTTAAGTGAATGGAAAGTTGGGATTGATTTTGGGGGTTATGGTACCAACAGTAAAGGAATTAGGGGCCAAAAATAAGCATTTTTGTAACTTCCAGACATAACTTGTGTGTTAGTGCATGGATCTCTCTGACATTGTACCACAAGGTTCCATATCACAAAAGGAATGCTGGGATTGATTTTGGGGGTAATTGCCTCAAAATTGTAGGAATTAGGGGCCAAAAAAGGGTAAAAAAACAAGCATTTTTCTAGTTTCATGACAATAACTTGTGTGTAAGTGTATGGATCTTTCTGAAATTTTACTACAAGGTTCCATATCACAAAGGGAAAGCTGGAATTGAGTTTGGGGGTGATTGCCGAAACGTTTAGGAATTGGGGGCCAAAAAGGGGCCAAAAATAAGCATTTTTCTAGTTTCCAGACAATAACTTGTGTTCAAGTGTATGGATCTCTCTGAAATTGTACTGCAAGGTACCATACCACAAAGGGAAGGCTGGGATTGATGATGGGTGTAATTGCCTCAATATTTTAGGAATTAGGGGCCAAAAAGGGCAAAAAACAAGCATGTTTCTAGTTTCAGGACAATAACTTGTGTTTTAGTGTATGGATCTTTCTGAAATTGTACTACAAGGTTCCATATCACAAAGGGATAGCTGGGTTTGAGTTTGGGGGTAATTGCCCTAAACGTTTAGGAATTTGGGGCCAAAAAGAGGCCAAAAACCACATTTTTCTAGTTTCCAGACAATAACTTGTGTTCAAGTGTATGGATCTCTCTGAAATTGTACTGCACGGTACCATACTACAAAGGGAAGGCTTGGATTGAGTTTGGGGGTGATGAATCATAAGGGGGTTCAAAAAATTTGGGGGGGGGGGGGTTTCCTTTTTTTTTTCTTTTAAAATTTTCCATTTTAAGTTGGTTATTTCTGATTGATAGTTAAAAGCAAATAATGATATGGTAGGAGATACACACCAAACAGGATGTGTAAATTATTATATAATAAGTATTGTGCAATAGCAAGAAATTTTCAATTGCACAGTATTGCACAATAGCAAGAAATCTTCAATTGCACAGTATTGCGCAATAGCAAGAAATATCCAATAGCACAATATTGCGCAATAGCAAGAAATTGTCAATTGTACAGTATTGCGCAATAGCAAGAAATATTTAATTGCACAGTATTGTGCAAAAGAAGATACTTCGTATAAATTGCTTATTTCTTGACCAATTTCAATGGGGTTTCATTCTTGAATTCTTGGGGTTCTTTAATATGCTGAATCTAACCGTGTATTTAGTTTTTGGATTTTGGGCCCCTTTTTTAAAATTGGTCCACATTGAGGTCCAAAGGGTCCAAAATTAAACTTTGTTTGATTTCATCAAAAATAGAATTCTTAGGGTTCTTTGATATGCTGAATCTAAACATGTATTTAGATTTTTTTTTTATTATGGGCCCAGTTTTCAAGTTGGTCCAAATCGGGGTCCAAAATTAAACTTTGTTTGATTTCAACAAAAATTGAATATATGGGGTTCTTTGATATGCTGAATCTAACCATGTATTTAGATTTTTGATTTTTGGGCCCCATTATCAACTTTGTCCACATTGAGGTCAAAAGGGTCCAAAATTTAACTTTGTTTGATTTCATCAAAAATTGAATTCTTGGGGTTCTTTGATATGCTGAATCTAACCATGTATTTAGATTTTGGATATTGGACCATAATAGGTGAATGTCCAATTTAAAATTTTTAAGTTCTTAGACCACATTCATTCTGTGTCAGAAACCTATGCTGTGTCAAATATTTAATCACAATCCAAATGCAAAGCTGTATCAAGCTTGAATGTTGTGTCCATATTTGCCCCAACTGTTCAGGGTTCGACCTCTGCGGTCGTATCAAGCTGCGCCCTGCGGAGCATTTTATTTTTCTAGACATGCTAGAGTAATCATCTGAAAATACATTGCTTATAATTATTTTGTAATCAGTTATAAAATATGTATGACCATTTTATTGCCTATTATTTTGAAAACAATAATAGATATAAACTTTAATATTGAAAAATGACAAGCAAGACAAGATCTACAAATAAGTCAACATGTCGGAAATCGTCAGACAACTCCTTATTGGAGTTATTGCCCTATAATGAAGATTTTTTCCCAATTTTTTGTGTTTTTGCTTCATATCTTAAAAACTATATTAGATAGATAGAAACTTAACTGCAAAAATTATCAGCAAGACAAGATCTACAAATAAGTCAACAATGTCCGAAATTGCTAGTCGACTTCTTATTGAAGTTGTTGCCCTTTAATGACGATTTTCCCCATTTTTGCCTATTATCTTGAAAACTGTAATAGATAGATAGAAACTTTAAATAACACAAATGATCAGCAAGACAAGATCCACAAATAAGCCATAATGGCCAAAATCTTCAGTCGACTCGTTTTTAGTGTTATTGCCCTTTAAGGTTACACGATACCGAATGACGTTACGCCACGAGTTATTGTTCCTGCTGTTATCGACATCCATGAAATTGACAGCAAACGTAAAACCTGATGTTTTATGATAACTTAGAACGAATTAAACAAACAATTTGCCTCAGTCTGGTATAAAATAGTTGAAAGATAAATGTTTCTTTATTTCAAATTTGCTAATATATATGATTATATATAAAATATACCTTCATTTTAGCGTCGCTTTCTATACATATCATATTCAATCACAAAACAAAAAAAATCACACTAATGTGAAGTTTTAATAATAAATTAATCTTTTATTTTCAATAAATATTTTTAAAATAATCCTTCCTTATGTAATAATGCTGGATTTTGATTGGCTGAGATAAATGTTATTTTTCACCAATTTTCTATATATTGAGATTTTCTTTTCTCTACCAGTGTGTTTGTCATTAGGGAATTCCATATTCTGGGGTATTTGCTAGCAAATACAATTGCAGATGGGAAATTCCATGTTAAAAATAACTCGACTTACGAAGACCTCTAGACTTTTCATTAGATACCTAATTGCAATAAAAATTCTGAGGTCAAGATGGATACAAAGAGCATTATATTAATATTTTTAAAATAATCTTTCCTTATGTAATAATGCTGGATTTTGATTGGCTGAGATAAATGTTATTTTTCACCAATTTTCTATATATTGAGATTTTCTTTTCTCTACCAGTGTATTTGTCATTAGGGAATTCCATATGCTGGGGTATTTGCTAGCAAATACAATTGCAGATGGGAAATTCCATATATAAAAACCGATATTGAGGTAAACAAATTTCCCTCGCCTAACGGCTCTGGAAATTTGTTTAGCTCTCAACAGGTATTTTTGGCAAATACCCCTTGTAAGCATGATATATTTGTATAGTAACTTTGCATAGATGCAGTCTGAGTGTCGAGGGATTTGATGCAATACGTTCTTCTCATTCTTTACATTTAAAAAAATTCTATACTTTTTATACGACCGCAAAAAATTTTTGCTGTCGTATATTGGTATGACGTTGGCGTCGTCGTCGTCGTCGTCCGAAGACACATTGGTTTTCGCACAATAACTTTAGTTTAAGTGAATGGATCGCTATTAAATTTTACCATAAGGTTCAATACCACAAAAGGAAGGTTGGGATTGATTTTGGGGGTTATGGTACCAACAGTTAAGGAATTAGGGGCCA